GTGCTGTACGGGGCGTCGCGGTGGGCGCCGCGGGCGGCCGTGCTGTCGGGGCCCGGGCCCACGACGCTGGTGTGCGCCAGCGAAGTGGGCAGCTGGTCGTACTCGCAGCGCCAGAGCCGCAGCCTGTGCGTGGCGGAGGGCGCGGCCAAGAGCGACCTGATGGTTTTCAGCCCCAACTTCCCGCCGCCGTCCGGCGCCGCGGCCAAGGACACGCAGCAGGAGCCTCCCGCTCTCCTTGACACGGTCAGTGGCCCTTCCTCCTTTGTCTCTGCTTCCTGTGCCGCCCCCTGCCCAGGCAGTGCCCCGAGGGCGGTAGGTTCTTGGGCGCTGCTTTAGGATGCCACTGTCACCTTTCTTTCTGCTTCCGTGTCCTTTCTGGAGCCTCCAGGCTCTTGGGAGTAGATGGAGACACACTGAAATTATAGGTTTTCAGTGCCTGGGAATAGTTACAGTCCTCGGCTGAGGTTTGGTGCTTTGGGTAGATGTTGTTGTCTGCTAGAAAGAAAATCACTTCCCACTGCGAATGGAGGTACCCGGAGGTGTCACATTTGCAGGCAACGGTCTTGCTTGTTGATGTGTGGCATTTCCACCCGAGCTTGTTGAAGGTGTGCAAGACAGGCAGGCTGTGGTGGTGACAGTTCCCAAGGCACTATCTGCTGCCCTATTGCCTTTGCTGACTGTGCTGCTGCTAATCTTGTTTTTCAGCAAAACTCTCCTCCTCCTCTGTTACTCGGTTCTTGAAAATATGCCATGCAAGATGACACTTGGGACTTCTAGTAGAGAATTTCTTTATTTCGGGCAGGTGGTAACTTATATGTTCTTTGTTGAGGAATCTTCTTTGTCTTCTTCGTTTTGTAAAGGGTTCAGGCAGAGGAGAGTGCTACAAGGGAAGTTTTAGAAATGGGAATTTTCTTTTTCTGCCGTTCCTGTCCCCCAGCTTGTGGATTTATGTTCCTGGCCAGAGAAGAAGTGTGTAATATCCTCCCCTATTTTATGTACTTTCAAAATTTAAATCAGTAGCAACATCATTTCAAAAGCCCTGGGAAACTTTTTTACTGCAAAGAAGAAAGAAATAAATAAACCCACCCCCAAAACCTCAAAAGACGTTACAGAGTCGGTATCTCCTGTCGCAGCGTGTGCTCATCACCCTTTTGTTTTTTCTCTCAGAGCATCAAATCAAGGCCATTGCCATTTTGAGCAGTCCCTATAACCTTTAGAAAGATTATTGTTCCACGGTGCAAAACTTTTGCATCTGTGCAAGCTGAAGCATTGCAACCCTTAGCTCTGCTGCAGAGTCGGGAGGACATTGTCTTAATGGTGATATCTGTATGTTTTTCTGTGGTGTTCTTATCAGCTGGCAGGGCTTACAAAAGCTGGAGTGAGCTCTGAGATGAGAAACAAGATCGTGGCTTATCATCATTGACACTGGTGTGTTTGCCATCATTTGAATTGATCTCTCACTGCATGAATGATGCCCATTGTCTTTAGAGCTGTCCTGACATCACTTCTGTAAATAATACCCTCCTAGGAGTCTAAGGGTTCCATCTGAGATTTGGAATGCCACAGGAGATTGTGGGCTGAACGTGACAGTGTCACTGAATAGGCCCATTTCCTGATGTGAAGCGTGACTTTGAGCAGTAGGAAGTCTTGTTTTCGGGGAAACTGGAAATCCTTGGGAAAACCATAGGCCATGTCATTAGAGAAGGACGGGAGATGAACTGCTTGCCGTAAGAACGCATTTCTCGAAGTGGGGCTTGGAGGATTCCTAGAGGAAAGCATGAGACAGGATGTGCACAGAGTGTTCTTGCAGAGCATGCTTTCCCAGGCTCTGAGGGTCTGGAGTTGGAGGCCTTCCTGATAATGAGACCGTGGGTGATATTGAAATGCCCACAGTGCTCTTTGAGGTTATGAATATCTCACACCAGAGACAGTTCCTTGTGCTGCTGCAGCCTGATATGGTCCTTGTGTTGGTAAGAGTTGGTGAAATGCAGGGTGATTAATGTTGACTGATGTACATTTTGACTGCCGTCTGGGGAAGGTACTGTGGGAAGGGAATGCCTAAACTTGCTGTCCCTGTGCAGTGGTGGGCATCCATAGCAGTTTCCACAAGTGTTGATGTTGCTGTGATGCTTCCTTGCTCTTCCTCAGGAGGGGTTTGTAAGGACATGTGACAAGGTGAGTGTAATCTTTGTATGCTCAGCTTCCCCTATTTGTGCACTGCAGAGGTGTCTCAGCAGAGATGGTGTGTCCTGTTGTCACATGTGGCTCAGTCTGATATTTGCAGGTACCCACCAAACCCTTCACTGCAGCCCAGCTCTGGTTTCATGAGGTACAAATTTCCCCCCTCTCAGCTGACATTGTGTGGGCTCTCACACTTTGGTGTTTGCTGTGATTCTGTTGAAGAATAAAATCCATGTGGGCTGGGTTCAGAACTGTCATGGCTCC